ATGTAAAAAAGAGTTGCAGCTGCTATGATATTTTTTCTTCGTGTTCTTCTTCTTCTTCTCAATTTTCACAATGATTTTAGTTTCAAATTTCATTAGGATTACATTATGCACTCTAGGTTGAGATTAAGGTGGCTTACGTTATGATGTACGTCATATTTTGGATGGTTCAGAAAGTGTGAAAATGTTTGCTCTGCGTATGCATGTTTGTGAGTGTGTGTTAGAAAAGAAAGTCTTATGCCTCTAACAAAATTATGTTCATTTTGCAAAAGTAAGTTAAAGTTGGGATTATATTGCAGTTATCCATAGGTTAGGATTAAATTGACAAAAGCTAAAAGATGAGGGTTTATTTAGAAAATAAATCCTTATTGAAGTTTGGAAAATCCAAAAATTTACTGTATTTTAATATATATTATGTACAATTTAATAATTTCATATTGAATTATTTTTCCTTTAACAAATTTGATTATTTTTTAATTAATTATATATGTATATACATGCATGCACAGTCGGTTCAAATTCAGAATAAAATCTTTAAAGTCGGTGCAACATTTTCAATTTTGGAGGCTATTAAGATCCATGTTTTAAAGTAGGCAAAATTGCATTTTTAGTCCTTCTGGTTTAATGTTATAGCAATTTTAGTCTCAAGATTCTAACTTTTCGCCTTTTGATTCTGTAATTGTAAATTTGGCTGCAATTTCAGTACTTTGGGGACTGAAATTGCAACAAAATTTAAAATTACGAGACTCAAAGATTTTTTATTAGTAATTTAAGTCTTGTAATTTTAAATTTTGTTGCAATTTTAGTCCTCAAAGGTTTGAAATTGCGTTGAGTTTTTAAATCATATGACCAAATAGCAAAATGTTCAAATCTTAGGCCTAAAAATGTCGCGGATCAAACCAATAGGACTAAAATTACAATTTTGTCTTTAAAGTAATAGCCAAATGTATATACCTCTACTTGTTAAAATCTTTCAAGCTTTGGTGAAAATAATTATTGACAATCTAGTTGAAAGTTCATGTAATAGAAGTCGAAAATTTACGTTCAAAAGTATGTAATAGTAATTGTACAATTCCTTAGAGCACCCCATGTGAAGATAAAATGTACTACTGAACACCTCCTTGTACAATAAGCCGTAGATTTATTTTTTTTGGGTGTTGTGCTTGCTTCAGTCTTAATACTGGTGATTGGACGACAACGGACCACCACAATTCTCATTGACTGACAAAAGCGTTCATTTTTCTAGTTTGGGGGATCTGACTTAGGCTAGCTTTGTTGGTTGAGTCATGATTTAAGGGTATAGAATTATTGGAAGCAAATTAATTCGGTCGAGCTCGTGTTTAACCTACTTTTTCTTAGTTTTTTCTGACAGTTACTTTAGTACCTTCCATGATTATACTGTATTTATTTTATTTTTAATTTTTTTGGAGGGTTTTCACTAGAAAACTACCCCTATGATGTATAATAACATTATCTACTAATTCATATCTTACCCTTTGTTTTTCAAAACTTGTAAATGAAAGAATTTCATGAACTGAAAAGGAAAAAAACTCTTAAAAAAGAAAAGAAAAAAAGATGTTGAATAAGGAAAACTTATACAATTATACCTACACTCACTCGGGTCTAAATGAATACCTCATATTACGCACGCTACATGCGCTGCGGAGTTCACCTCTTACATGGGCCACCACTAAAATAGTCTCTGATAGTGCAGGTCACTATATATAGAAGATATATTTACGAAGTTCTTCCGATTGATTGGCATTAATCCTAGATCCTTGTCCCCGAGAAATGCATTTTTCTACTCGAGCTACATTTTAGACTATTTACAACCCAACAAAAAT